ATATTACCTGCTTCTTGTTTTAATTCTTGTAATATTTCTTTATCAATTCTCCTAAACACAAAACAAAAATATAGGAATTTTGTCTTTGTAACAAACTTAAATTTTCCAAACCCTATATCTTTGCCACCTGATGGTGTAAACTTTAGATTTTTTCATCTTATAGAATATATAGTTTGAAATATCTAAGGTTTCCGATATTGGGCTGCATAGATATAGGGATTAGAAAATAAGAATTTGTGGCAAAGACTCTATTCTTTTTCAATTTCTTTTAATTTCAAACTTCTAGTCAACAACTACTTTAGGATTCATGATTTTGCAATGATATATATATCTGTTGTAATTGCCAATTTGTATGTCTTTCTGTCTTTCTGTATGTCTGTCTATGCATGTCTATTTGTCTGTTTATCTATTTGTTATATTTACCAATCTGTCTCTTTATCTATTAGTATATTTGCATATTTATAAATCTGTCTGTATCTATCTCTTCTGTGTATATTTCTATCTTTCTTTCTGTATTGTTCTGTTTTCAGACAAAACCTAATTCCGCATGTAAGGGAGGGGGGGGGGGGGCCTCCATTGTTAGACAGTTTTAATATGACAAGCGTTCAAATCTGTTAACTGTCATCAAATTTACTTTAAATATTACAAAAACACACGATGTAAAATATTTATGCGTTAATAAACAACTCTGTCCCCACTGAAATCTAGTCATAAGGACAGGAAAATATTGGGAAATCTTTGTGTGACATGAAATCTAAACTCCTCCAATATAATTTTTTTTGGAAAAGTTCAAAATGTTTTTTTTTCTCAATTGCTTCTCAGAAAAACGAAATATATGATTGAAAAGACTTTACTTAAAAACTAAATTTTTGAGAATTGAGACGAGATTTTTTTATCTTAATTTAAGACATAAACACAGAAGACAAGTTCTTGCTACCAACTCAAATTTTTTTTTATTCTTATATCTTCGCAACCTGTCGGCCTAACCTTTAATATTTCAAACTCTTTGAACTGAAAGAATCATGGCTTCAAAGGGGTTAAAACAACAGGAACTCGGTACCTTTCAGCTCTAGGGTAGTCAGGATCTCATATTTTTGGATGAAGGAGTGGGGGGGGGGTAAGAAGAAAAAGGAAAATTTTAAGATAAGACTTTAATGGCAGCCAAAATTAATCTATAAGGTGAACTTGGACGTCTTCAATCTTCAAACCCTGAAAAAACGAATTAAAAGCTGCAGGAAACCATGAAAGAACCGAATGAAAAGCTGGAGGAAACCATGAAAGAACCGAATGAAAAGCTGCAGGAATCCATGAANAAAAAACGAATAAAAAGCTGCAGGAATCCATGAAAAAACGAATTAACGGCTGAATGAATACTGTACAGTTGTCACTAATGTCTCATCCTTTTGTGAAACCTATGTATTGTTACGTACAGAGCGTCCTATATGATATTGGATTACCTCAAAGCTTTAACGCCAAAACACACAATTAATACTCTCAAAACCTAGTAATTGTTTACATGAACAATTTCATATTAGCCAAATTAACATTTTTTAAGATGATTATTATTTAAAAATGTTCTTATTAGTCCCTTAATCTCACGTTAGAGGTATAGACAATCTATTATGATGTGGGACACCCTGTACTTTCTTTGTTTTTGGGACTTTCTCTCCAATTACAGTTCAAGTGTTTACACTGTACAGTATAGTGTACAGTTATAGTTCAATTATAGTACATTTTTATAATATTTCCATTAAAAACTGGCATTGTTTCATGTTCTCCATCTATGAAACTGATCAAAAATAGATAAATATTTAAACGTATTTTTTCGATTTGTTTCTTTTTTAGAATTTTTTATCAAATTTGGTTTCATCGTTCGATCTTTTCCTGCTGGAGAACACTTTATAGTCAAGGACTTAATACTTTTTACTAGGTTGCACCCATACAAGATAAGCAATTGATAAAAAACTTTGCGATTTATCAATTTAATATAATTAGCAGTTACACATAGTTAGTAAACATTTGTTTTTGTTTTTCTTTGTCATTGAATAATACAAAGTTTTTCTGATTTTCTTGGGAAGCTTGTTAGATTTCTAAATAAAAAACTAAAATCCCTTTTATCCGTGGCATCACTTTTCAATTTTAACCGTCCATAAACCTTTCCTGGGGTCTTGTGAGTTGCTACAAAAACAACATATAAATTATAGATGTCACCTAGATATCTTCTTGTTCTCGTCAGTAGAAGTACAGTTTCCTAGAAAACATAACTATTTAAATAACAATAAAAATAATGCATTTTTTTATGAACTCTATTTATGAAAAACTACGTATTAATAAAATTAAGAAGTGAATATTTCGCATACATACCTGTGCTGAGCCATGACCAAAAAATTCCCATTTTTATTTCTAGAAACACGTCAAACTAAAGTAAATTGCTATATACACGACAAAATCAAGTAAATTGCTATATACACGACAAACTAAAGTAAATTGCTATATAAACGACAAACTAAAGTAAATTGCTATATACACGTCAAACTAAAGTAAATTGCTATATACACGATAAACTAAAGTAAATTGCTATATACACGTCAAACTAAAGTAAATTGCTTTATACACGTCAAACTAAAGTAAATTGCTATATACACGTCAAACTAAAGTAAATTGCTATATACACGACAAACTAAAGTAAATTGCTATATACACGGCAAACTAAAGTAAATTGCTATTAACACGACAAACTAAAGTAAATTGATATATACGCGATAAACTAAAGTAAATTGCTATATACACGACAAACTAAAGTAAATTAAGCATGTAAGATTAAAATTTATTTAATTTCAATCATAACTAACTTTTTAAACTTTTTGACCGTCAAAACATTCTTATTTATAGAAGACACAGAACTTTTGCAGAGTAAACAAATCCATTCATCTAAATAAGTCTTTTACTAATTTACTAGTGTAACTACTTGCTTTGTATCAACATCAAACACACTTAATTATTACTTAAATGTCGTCCTCCTCTTCCAGATTTTTCTGGTTCTTAATGTATAATAAGAAAATTGTGTGTAAATCAATTAGTTCTAATTTATTTAATTTTTTTCATTATTTCAATTGAATTAATCTTGATTCAAAACTTTTGAATTTCTTTTGATATAAAACAAAAGGTTAGAAGTTCCAATCTCGTTGGATTTTAATCTCCATCCATCATGTATATTGAGAGAGATATTTATATTCGTAAACAAAAGAAAATTGGCCAAAAAATGTAAATAGAGATTTAAATATTTTTTAAAAAAATTGAAGTATTATTTTCGATGTGGATTGTGGCCCTGTGGGTTCTCCTCCTTCATATCTAAGTTTATTGCTAAGGTTGCATAAACTAAAGTAGATATACTAACTACTTGGTACAGTTTTGAATAAATAATGTATAGATATGAATTTATATTGATTTTTCATATAGTTTCCATGCTTAATTGAACGTAAATAAACTTAGTGTACGTGAAAATACGAGCTCAGTGTACATGAAAATACGAGCTTAGTGTACGTGAAATTACAAGCTCAGTGTACATGAAACTACGAGCTCAGTGTACATGAAAATACGAGCTCAGTGTAAATGAAAATACGAGCTCAATGTGTACGTGAAAATACAAGCTGAGTGTACATGAAAATACGAGCTCAGTGTACATAAAAATACGAGCTCAATGTGTACGTTAAAATACAAGCTAAGCGTACATGAAAATACGAGCTCAGTGTACATTAAAATACGAGCGCAACGTGTACGTGAAAATACAAGCTGAGTGTACATGAAAATAAGAGCTCAATGTGTACGTGAAAATGCAAACTGAATGTACATGAAAATACGAGCTCAATGTGTACGTGAAAATACAAACTGAGTGTACATGAAAATACGAGTTTAGTGTACGTGAAAATACGAGCTCAGTGTACGACTACGTAAAAGCCAGCGCAGTGTACGACTACTTAACAATACGAGCTGATATAGTGTACGACTACGTAAAAATACAGTGTGCCACTCCGTAGAAATACAAGCTTACAGTCTACGACTACGTAGAAATACGAGCTTGCAGTGTACGACTCCGTAGAATAGTTTAGTGTACGACTACGTAGAAATGCGAGTTCAGTAAATGACATAAAAAGAGAGAAGGAGAGAAGAGAGAAGAGAGAAGAACGGAAACCATGGATACAGAGGTTCCAATGTATCCAGGATACCTCGAACCAATCTGTATACAAATATAACAAATATAAATTTGTTTTTACTATTATAACTTTCGTGTTTTTTCAAATTCGTTCAAATGATTTGAAATTGTATGTTTTCGTTTTTTAATTTGTTTAAAAAAACGATAGTATTTTCATTTCTCTGAACGATCCAAATCGTTTATCCATCGTTAGTTCTTTTCTTTTAACAAAACATTTTGCTATTCGTAAATTAATTTCTATAATCAAATATTTTTAAAATTCGGTGATGGTGATGGACCAAACCTCTGTAGAGTAAAAAAGTAGATGTTAGTTCCACATTTATTGAAAATATATTTCGGTCTGGGTTGACCCTCGTCAGTTCATGAGATTGTTTCTTCACAAAGATTAAATATTTTGTCTGACACTTTATGGTCACCTATTGTAATAGAAAACCTTTTTAAGGACTTTTAGCGGAAAGATGTATTTATTTATTTCTATGAATAGCTCAGCTAGATCTTCTTTTCTTTTGTTAGCTATAGCTTGGGTAGGGGTTTCAAAAAGTAAACAAAGAGGTGAAACAAATTTATAAAAAAATCTATAAAAAAAATGTGTACAGTGTATGAAAAATACTTGGTGAAAAAATTCTTTTGCATCTGATTCCTTGTTTAAAACTTGAATATACTTAAAGGAACTGTAAAGGAAAAATAAAATGAGATATAGGCTGAAATCTGAGAATCTCAGGAGTTAATTGAAACATCCTCTCTATCACTTGGATCAATCCATTTTAAGCTTCTTTCTTGTTGAGTAAAAATCACGCACCCTTTCGCTGCGAGAAATGTTAACAGCCGCCCCTCTATCCTCCTACAGGGTGTCCCACGAAACATGACAGTTGGTGAATAGATCTGATGTTCCTGTCTCGAGAATTTGATAGAAAACTGTGTCAAAATTAAACCAAAACGTATAAATGTAAGATTTTGTATTCTTATTATTAGATTCTTAGTATTAAACAGATCATATGCAACAAATATGCTCCCAATCTGAAAACAAAGATTTCCCAGAGGATTCTGAGAAATTATTTGAATTTAATTATTTTCATTTTAAATAGACATAATTGATAATTTTATTTATGCGTCAGGAACATGTCACCAGAACTCAAACCAATGGCAGTCCAGTATTATGGTCACGTGATGCGGACATACGTATACGTGTCCATACAACTTCAAATATGTCTATTGGTAATAATATATTCAAACTTGCAAACTCTGCTCGAAAAAATAATTTTGCTATTGAAAATTGTTAAAAAATAACTTATCCCTCATATTTTGGAGGTTTTAAAATATTTTCTCCTGAAACACTTAATTTTGTATGTTTCTGTTATATTTCATAAATAAATAATTATTTACTTAATTACTTACTAATTATGTACTTACTTACAAGTCCAAAATTAACAAAAAGGTAGGTAACTAAATGCGCGATCCTTTCTTTACTCTCGTCACGTGATTTTTAATAAAAGATACTACTCATTGTGTGGCATGTTGCCAGGCCCCCTGGGAAGATTAAACCTGATAAATGTCAATAAATCCAACACTAGATGTCACTAAACTAGAACTTTATAACTCTTTACATTTAACATTAAGTTATATTATACAGGGTGTCCCAAAAAATGAGAATTATGAGAGTACTTTGGTTTTTAGCAAGGCCTTTAATATTTTAATGTAGCTTTTCATATGAACATTTCTCTCTTTCTACAATATATAAAGTATAATTTTCCTGTTTTTTGGATAACAAAAAAATAGTATCTATATGGGGTTTGTTTTCTTATTTCATATATCCATTTCTAGGATTAGGTGTTAATCATTCTATTTTTTTGTCAGGCATTCATAATATTCTAGAAAATTACGCGTTTCTTGTAAATCATTGAGTTGGATTTAAATCCATCCCCTTTTCTTTAATATGTTATTTTTATATCTTCTTTTTTAATTGGCCGGTCTTCTCTAAATATGAATGGAATTATTTTATTTTCTGCGTTAGTCCAAATATCCAAAAACGAAATATCTGGAAATCTATTAATAATCTTTGTTTGCTTGGGTGTTTGTTTGTTTGTTTGTATGCATGTCCAATAATAACTCAGGAATCTTTGACTGATTTGCTTAATAAGGCAGCTCGATTGAACCCCAGGAATGTTCTTAGCTTGGTTTTAAAGTTCTAAGTAAAAGAGAGTGTTCGCGAAAAATTAAAGAGGGTATAGGCTTAGGGCGAAAAATAATCACTTTTGATCGCTGCGAATCTTACTTTCTATCTGTTGCTTCTATAAGGAGAAAATTGTTTCAAACGACTTATACTGAAGAACGCAGCGTCCATACAAATTCAGAAAGTTGCCATACATCGTAAAATAGTCAATTTAATTCTAAACAAATCATTCGATATTACAATATAAATTCATCGATTATTTTTGACCCCTTCTTATACAGTTAATATTTCCTAATATTGGTTGTTTGTTTTATATACAATGCAATCAAAACGACTTTTTTCCGATAAGTGTCTCTGCCACGTGTAATCATTCAAAGTATTCAGAGAAGTAACATCTGGCGACCAACTATAATTTCCGCATTTTAAGTGCATTGTATCCAAAGCGAATAAAAAATATCATGAAATATTAACTGTATACGAATGCGTCGAAAAATAATTGATGCCTACAGGTTGTAATATCTGAATGATTTGTTTGAAATTAAATTGATTTTTTTACGATCCAACTTTCTGAATTTTTCTGGACGCTACGTTTTTCGTCGTTTTTAAGAAATTTCTCCTTATAGACGCAACAGATTGAAGAAAGATTAGTATCAATCAAAAGCGATTTTCTATAACCGTAAGCCAATACCTCCTTTAATTTTTTGCTAGCACTCCCTTTAGATTTGTTAACTTTTTTGGATAAAGGTTTGTTTTCATCAAAAGCTGGGTTCCCAAGCTAGTTAGTAAATAACCTATAGTAAATCCTCTTACAAAGCTTCTTATAGTTCTATTGGTGCATTTATTGTTCTAAATATAATACCAAGTATTGGACTATTGGTCTCTGCTCTAGTTAGTGAGCTAGTTAGAAAATACATTGTTTGATTTCTATTGTTAGTTTCTTAAACTTAAAAATATAAGATTAGGTTTATATCGATTTAAGGTTTGTTTTATTGTTAGTTTCTTTAACTTAAAAATGTAAAATTAGATTTAAATCAATTAAAGGTTTGTTTTATTGTTAGTTTTTTAAATTTATAAATGTAAAATTAGGTTTATATCAATTAAAGGTTTGTTTTATTGTTAGTTT